ATTACCTCTGATATGGGTCCCACAAATCAATCCATGTGGAAACATTTTGGCATCATATCCAGTAAAACGTGTTTACAAAATTTCATTGTGCACCCTGAAACATTTGTATAAAAATATCAGTTCATCTTTATTCATTAATAAAGTTTTCAAAATTCCTGAGAATTTTGTTGAAAAATATAATCTCCCCACAAACATCGTTGATTTCAAATATATATATACAAAATTTAGCAGAATTTCAAGAAGGTGAAGATTTGAAAATTGCACCAAAATTAACTACAGATTTTATCGAGTTGGACCATTTTAACAAAATGAAAGTATCGAATGCATATTATACGCTCAATAATGATATTTATGCTGGTTTGAATTTTTTGAGTGATGAACCTACATGCAGCTCTATAGACGAAAATGCGAAAACCACTGCTTGGTTTGTTAAAATGATTTTTAGGTGGTTTTCTCTCTTAACATCACGGACAAGAACTTTAGCTTTGAGCAAGTTGTTAACTCAAATACCATATGCTTTTTGAATGAAATTATTGAGTCGTTTAGACATTTAGAAATTGAGGCGGAAAGGGTTCATTGGAAACCAATTCGAAGTGGAGTAATTCTATCAACCCAGAGTATTTTGGATATTCAAGATTCGCTATTAAATTTTAGAAATTACGAATTTCTATTGACTTCCAGATTCAGCCAAGATTGCCTTGAAAATGTTTTTGGTCAACTTCGCTGCGACAGATAATTCCAAACGCTCTACAAGTTCGCCAACTTTTGAAAAATTTAGCAGTTATTCAAATCTTGGAAGTATCTCGTAAAGGAAGTTATGCAATGGGGAACTGTTTAGACGGAGAGAATTTACTGAATTTATCGGAAATTTGTGAAAGGGAGAAAATAATTCATCATCATTCAACTGCATCAGTATCATCGATTCTGCCTTTAGACTGGGATAGAGACGTATTGCTCAATAAAATTCAACTGAATTGTTTATTTAATTCAGCAGGTTACATTTTAAGAAAAATTAAAGAGAATCTGAAGTGCAAAGTCTGTATAAAATATATGTTAACTGAAAAACCTCATAGGGATTTTTCTAAATTGGTAGTTCTGAAAGAGTTCCGGCCAGGTTGTCTGAATTATGCGAGTGATGAAGCATTCAAAATTTTCGTTCGTTTGGAGAAAATATTTCGAAATTTATGCATATTCATAAACCAAACAAGAATTTTGAGTTTCTAAATTTGTTCAAATCATGTGCATACAGAGATCAAATTCTATCGGACATTTTTCTTCCCCAATGTCATGATGCGAAAAATAAAAAAAATAAAAAGATATTGTCTATATAGGGTCAGAATTTATTTGAAAAAATGTAAAAGAGTATCAAGGAATTCAAAAGCGAGTCGAAGTATGGGATTAAGAAGTTAGTGAATTTCTGATTATGAATGCAAAACTCTGTGTTTTCAGTTTTCACAGTTTCGAAAGGTACACTCTAAGAAAAACTGGAACACCAGTTGACACCAGCTAACACCGAATGATTTCCTTAGAGGTCCTGCATATTTCAGTGTTAATTCACACCTATTTGTAGAGCACCGGTGTTTGGTGCTATCTCTGCACATTTTCAGGTGAGATTTGTGATTTCGAAATCGATGTAAAGTAATACCAGTCTGGTGTGATATGTGCAATGTTTTCTGATAGAGTTCGCACTGGTCTGGTGTGAATCACAATACTATTGATCATGAAAAACATCAGTATATTTAAAGTCACACCGGAATGAGTTTACAAAATCATCATCAAATGATCAAATCTACAATGAATACGGTGTTTATTTACACCAGATCATTGAATTCTTAACCGGAATTGTGTCAATTCTAATTGAGGACAGTTCTTCATCTGACACGAATCTTCAGAATTCTGACACATTTAGGTATGAAACAAAATTGCTTCAATCAATTTGTAATTCATTATAGTGTGAAATATTTTTGTTGAGATATAGGTACAGGGTATCTCAAAATTGCTGGGACACAGAGCTACCACAGGTAATACGGGTCAAAATAAGTTGATTGGACCCAACTTCTTTTTATTGAAAAATATACCGTTTGTCCGTGAGACGAGTTCAGAGTTTTCATAAATAAACATATTTTCAAAAGATCTACAATATCTTTCGGGATTCTTCCATTACTGAAAGAAGAGTTATACTCTAAAATTTGTTTCACTCATTTTTGAACAGCGATCAGCGAACGAAAATGTGTTTATTTATGAAAACTTTAAACTCACCTCACGGACAAACGGTACATTCTTTTATATAAACAAGTTAGGTCCAATCAAGTCATTTTGACCTGTATTACCTGTGGTAGCTCTGTGTCCCATCGATTTTGGTGTTGTGTCGAAACATCGAGACAATTGTTTCTGATTTTGACTCCTCAATAAACTTTTCTGAGCATTTGAATTTTATTTTTATACACTTCATGATAGAAACAATCATGCACTTTACACTGGAAGAGCAACATGACCCGTGCTTATTGAAAGCACAGTGAAGAGAGACAGTGCTGAATATTGCTCAACGTTTACTACGAATGGCTGTGGAACTCTGGAGTCTGGAGTGTGGAAGTGATAGGAGCACGTACACATGCAAAGAAGATGCGCAAGGTTGCCAAGCATCACGATATGAAATAACTAAGTATATGTACCTATAGTTTCATGATAATTTAATGAACATAGGCAGTAGGTACTTAAAATGAAATTGTCCTCATAAGTTCTTGGAAATACTTCCGTTGGCAAAGAATACCGAAGCTTCGTCGTTCCATAGACAAACGTGTTTTGGAAAGGAGTTGCTTGACATAATTCTAGATTGACGACAAAACGATGATGTGCTGACTCAGCCTGTCGAGTACGTTTGACGAATGGTGGACCAAAATGCATGTAAGCTCTGCAGTAATGATACAGAATGTTGCAGTCGTTAATTAGAGAGCATCATATTGATATTAAATTCATCAACTTCTAATCATTATCTTACATCACGATGTTCAAAGTGTTATATATGAAATAGGTTTAAGTAATATAAAATAGACGAGGTGGCAACAGTGTATGGCGACAAATTTGTTCCCATGTTTTTCTGATATTAGTGGTGTTGATTTACATCTATTCCAGTGTCATTTATTCCAGTGATATCAGAAAATACACTGGTTTGGTTATCAATCTCATTACTAGGTGAATATCTTGAAGAGGAATTATTATTGTGTGAATATGGATACTTCATAAAATTGATAGTCACATGAAAAATATGATAGTTGATCACTTTCATGATATGAATTTTGAAAAATTACACCTACTAATGATAATTTTTCAGAATATATCAACTTTGTGATTCATGAATAGAATAATTTGATGTTTACAGTTTGAATTCAAATAATGAGTATGAAAAGTGTGATTCCGAATTCAGATTTGCCATAATGTATCACGATTTACACCGTCGAACCCCACGATATCAAATTCCCAATACTTATGATAGGATAGTACAATTTTGGTGTTGAATAGGGTTAGTGTTAATTCTAACAGTCTGGAATTGAAAAAGACACCAACAGTTTTATTAGAGTGTATATTCATGTTCTCACATATCTATGGGTAGTTATGTGAAGATGAAACCAATGAGAATAGTCATTTATGTATCAAGGGAATCATCATGAGGGCCTTACAACTATGCTAGAGGTTATCGTTTTGGAGATATTTACAATTTTCTATATCGATCCATGTTACTTAGTTCCTAGGGCACTAAGTGAAGTTGCTGGGAACTCCTATGAAATGTTCATCGAAGAATGATTTGTTCTCTGTATTTCAACACCCTGTATCTCCAAAATGAAAAATTTACGGACACAATTGAGCTTATATAGACTTTATTTCTTCAAATTGTCCCAGAAATACTTCACTTGCACGTACTTATGTTACTTCTTGTATATTGAGAATAGATACCTGTGATGTAATATCAATAACTTCATGTTTTATACTCATCACTGGAGTACAGTTTCACAAACAATAAGGAATTATAGCTATAAGTTTATTCATATGTGTATATTTTCTAATATTAAAATGTTGTTATACATGCATTCTTTTCATTTATATAACAGTTGTTCTGCTAGAAGTGTATCACTATTAATTGAAGTGGGTGTTTATACCCTATTTCCATTGTCTACCTACGGCTATGATTGATTTCACAGAAAATGTAACCTCTAAAATCGTATCTGACAATCAGGCGCTACTAGGGAAATTGAAAAGACAAAGAGCAGAATATAATATGTCTTATTCTTTTATTCACTTAAACCATTGTATTATAGAAAATAGAAAAGGACAAAAGTTCAGCTGTGTCCGAACTCTTATCTAACTAATACAATCCAGTGACTCTATATATGCGCAACTAGTACGCAGATTACGTTGTAGATGACCGACGATCGGTCCATCCTATGATGGAAACTAACCCCAAAACATTTCCCAATGTCGTCTTTCTCTTTACAGTTCATCATTCCTAGTGTTGCCGTCTAGACAAGACAAGACAAGAGTTTACCTACTCTTGTCTTGTCTTGAAATTTCAAGACAAGAGTTGTATACGCGTAAGTCTTGATTAAATAAGCTGAGTGCGGTCTTGTCTAGATAACGAAAGTCTAGATTATTATTCAAGACTCTAGATAAGACGCTTAGCTTAAATTGCGTGGAAACAGTCAAGTGCATGCAAACTCCCGCTCTCTGGGAACCAATCAAAACAAATCATAGCCGCGCCAGCGAAACGACGGGCACGTGCGGACACAAGGAAGCAGGTGTTATTATATTGTTCGAGTTCATAAAATAAACAGTCCGAAATTATCAGAGGCATGCGCAGTTTCACAGAACTGTACGCATTCTTTGAGTTCTGTGGGACTACGCAAACAAACCTTTCGGGTATTCACAGAGGGGTAGGTACAGTTGCCTTTGGCTATCATAGATTTCGTTTTTGCGCTAGCAGCTAGAAGTGAATTGCATTTTAAATAATGAAGCCAAAACATCCTAAATTGTCCCGTACTTGTAATGCGGAAAAAACAACACCGCAAATACAAATAATACCTGATGACAATAATTCCAATGAAGAATTAGCAGATCCTTTTGTATGTGGTAGTGATTCTATGGATGAAGATAAGAGTTTTGAGCCTGGTCCTGGCGATAGTGTGTCAGATAGTGATAGTGATGACAGCGTTTCTTCGCCAAACACCAGCAGTGCCATCACACAATCTGTTTCAAATAAAACTCAATATAAGAAAAGAAAACTTAATAACGTTATTGTCAAAAATAAGAGGGATAGAGCACTGGGAGTTAGCGGAAAGCTATTGACGACTTTTTTTACAATGGTATCCACGTCTACAAACAATAACGACAAAGTCGGAACTTGCCAAATATGCAAAAAACAAATTCAAATGAAGAATGCTAATAACACAGGATTAAAGAGACATTTATTTGCACGTCATCAAAAGCAATATCATGAAATATTTCCCGAAGTTGAGGCTGCAGCAATAGCAGAAGCGAAAAAGTCTGGATCTCGACAAGGAAACATAAAAGAAATGTTTAATTTTGATTTACAAAATCAGGTGAGGAAAAAGGCTGTTTGTTTGTTGATAAACTATGTTGAATTTTATGGTAGGTTGTGATGTGATTTCTATTGTTTTATTTGCAAATTTGAAACATTTTTCACAATATCAATGTTTGAAAAGAAAATGAACATCTTAAATGACAAGCTTTCAAGCCTACTTGATTAATTATTTATTTCACCTTTTTAGTATTATATATCTACCATTCTGCAAATGTATATATTTTGAATAGTTTTTTAACAGCCAAACAAAGAAGTATTAAATTTTAATTATAACTATTGAATTAGGTATTTATTTTTTGTATACGTAACCTAAAATAACTTATTGTATAGGGTGTTCTAACTAGAATTACCACCCCTGTTTTCTCGTTCCCCCTGAAATTTTGAATTTTAAAAGTGCCGTCTTATGTGCTTTTTTCCGTAGTTTTCAAATTTACGATTTGAAATTTTTTAACCTCAAAGATATACAGGCTGTCCAAGAAATTGTTACTTTTTCTCATGGAACACCCTATATGTTCTTGTACATATTGAAAGAGCATTTTGTGATTATTATAAATATGCAGTGTGTCCCACTTTGAGCAGCCACACCCTCGTATTTTATTCTTGAGAACATAATGATTCCAAAAAATGTTTTTCACGAGTAACTTACTCTACTCATAAATATCTAGCTGTAGGTTGATGAAATAATCCTATATCCATTTTCCACGGCTACCTTCGACTAATAGAATTCGGAATACCCTAAATACCCCAAATCTCAGTATTTCATTCATTAAAATATACAGGGCGGCATCTGTAACTAATAATATTTTAATTTTTATTCATTCGTTATGTTTGGTTGATTTAGAATATTTCTTCCCTATTGATAAAGTACCTGAAAATGTTCGAATGATGCCGTAGAAAATATTCAAATATTACATTTTCATGGCTAGCTACGACAAATTGAAAAGTGAAGAATTGGGAAAAACATACTAGGGATTCTTTTATCGCAAATATAACACCAGATTCTGTTTTAGAACACCCTAAAACCCCAAGATCTCATTTAAATATACAGGGTGTTTTGCAGACCAGTAACATTTTTAATTTGGTATTCATTCGTAATATTTGGTCGATTTTGACAAAATTTTCGAAATCGACGAAATATTATTACGGATGAATACCAAATTAAAAATGTTGCTAGTCTGTAAAACACTCTGTATATTTTAATGCGATCTGGTGTTCTAGGGTGTTCTGAAACAGAAACTGGTGTTATTTTCGTGATAAAGAAGTCCGAAGACGTGCGAAATGGATATAAACTCATTTTATAAACCTGTTAACAGATATTTATGGGTACTATAATATATGTTTCGCAAAAATTTGTTCGAAATAATTTCATCCTTAAGAAAATACGAGGGTGCTGCTCAATGTGGGACACACTATAAATATATATATATATACGATTCGAAGTTGGAAAATCTTAAATAGGAAATTTGAAAACTACGGAAAAAAGAACATGAGACAGCATTTTTACATTTTAAAATATTTTCATCGGCAACAAGAAAACAGGGGTGGTAATTCTGATTGGAACACCCTGTACTTACCTATTTTTTTGTTTTCAGAGTAAAAAGCCACCCGCTATTACCCAGAAGAAGTTTGAAGAAAAGCTAGTTGAATGGATAGCTGTTAAATATCTTCCATTCAGTTTTTTTGACGATGATCAGACGCAAGAAATTTTTCATGACTTCCGCCAGTTAGAAGATTCCTCAGCTCTGTTGCCTAAACGTAGCGCTATGAGGTCAAAAGTGGTACAACATTTCTCTAATATGAAAAATACTGTTATGCAAATCTTGAAAGAAAACCAATCGAAATATTCCTTTACCGTTGATGGTTGTACATCGGTTTCTAACAAATCTTACTATGGTATAACTTGTCATTTTATAGACGACACTTGGACATTTCAATCGCTTGTAATAGATTTTGTTCCCTCGCGTGGCCAACATACCGGCAAAGATATTGGTCACTGTTTTTATAATTCGCTAGTTACATACGATTTGCAACAGAAAATCCAAGGAATTACTGAAGACAATGTTTCTGCCAACACCTTATTTATGTCTGAACTTTCAAAAATTATTCACGAAAAACATGGTAAATTATTTGATGAAGAAGATCAACATTTTCGTTGTATTGCTCACGTGCTAAATTTAGCTGTGCAAGACTTATTGAAGATATTAAAAATTGAAAATGACGGCGCTGACGCTGAAATTGAAGCTGACACTGAAGACGAAGAAATGGAAATCGAAAACGAAAACTGTGATGATGAAGAAGATACCAATGTTGACACTTCCCCTGTTTTAAAAATACGAGCTTTATGCAAAAAAATTAAAGCTTCGGAGCAATGGCAGCTTAAATTAAAAACCTGTTGCGAGCTAACTAATGTCAAAATGTTAACGCTCATCATTGACGTGCCTACAAGATGGAATTCGACATTTGACATGATTAAAGTATCATTGAAAATGCGACATCCCCTCAACGCTCTTTGCGACAACAACGCCAAACTGAAATTTTTACGCGTAAATGAAAATGAGTGGGATCTGCTCAAACAAATCTGTGGTCATCTTCATAGTTTCAAATCTTTGTCTACTCTTCTTGGTGGAGAAAAATACGTTACACTACCAATGGTAGTGATGAGCCTCAACATTCTAATCGACAAACTAGAAGAGGACGCACAACATCTAGATCAGAAAATTGATAGAACTGAAGTAGACGAAGCTATAATTTTAGCTCTGCAAGCTGCTCGCGACAAAATTCTCAAGCACTATGCGAAGACAAACTGGGTGTACTGCGCCGTTCTAATTTTAGACCCAAGACATAAAATCGAAACCTTTGAACTGACCCGATGGGGTCGTGATTTGCGAGATGGTTCTATTCTAAAATTTGAGGAGTTGTACAAACAAAATTATTATGTTCCACCTCTTAAGCAAGCAGATCAAGCTGAAGCTGATGAAGTAATCCAAAATCAACGTTTAACAGCTGATAATGAGAATATTGAGAATTTAACTGACTCTGAAGATAACAATCCACTTGACTTCAATTTTTTATTTGAAAGTTCTACCTCTTCTACAGACAATTTTATTGACAACCCTAATTTCTGGAGAAAAGAAATTGATGAGTACCTTTCAAGTAAACGTGCTCCAAGAGAAGAAGATATTCTTGTTTGGTGGCGCAAGCATCAGTTTGCTTATCCTACATTAGCCAAAATGGCACGCGATTTGCTGAGTATTCCTGCCACATCTGTTCCAGCAGAACGCTTATTTTCTAGAGCTTCGCTTACCATTCGTAAACATAGGAATAGGCTTAATTCCGATTCAGCCAGGTCACTCCTATGTATCAATTCATGGGCTACCTGTCAGCTTCATGAAAGTATTAAAAAATATGTTTCTGTTTAAAATTCAATTTGTTTCTTTAACGTACTTAAATTTGAAACATATTAAACGTTTGTAACTTTTTTTTTGTATTATTTGTAATATAGATTTGAAAATAATCAAGAGTTTTGAATAAAAGTCTTGTATGGAAAATGAAAAGTCTTGTCTTGAAAATGAAAAGTCTTGTCTTGTCTAGATAATCTAGACAAGACATATTGATGATCTTGTCTTGATATTCTAGACAAGACAAGACAAGAGTCTAGAATGTATAAGTCTAGACGGCAACACTAATCATTCCTATTATTTTTGAGCCTTGGCCTCACTCGTGATAGCAATATCCCAAGAATCTGTCTGATACATAATGAAAAAAATGTTCTATGATTATCTTGAATGGGTTGGAAAGTACTTTTGCGCCTGCGTATTACTCATTTCTGATTGTTGATTTGGTTTGCAAGAACAGTTTAGGTTCTTCTTACCATTGAACTCAATGTAAACAACTGGAAGGGAGACTGCCGCTTTCTAGAATATCACTATGTGTGTCAGGGGCAGCTGCAAGAAAGATAGCTGTGTTACGGTAACCTGTCTCTTTCACACTCGTGTTGTTTAATGACGGATTGGTGTATACATTTTCTTTTATCCAATAATCGGAGTACTTGGGATCTTATTGTTTACCTGAACAGGCAAAAAAAGGGAAGACAGAACTTCATTGTTTTTTGTTATGTCATTGTGAAATACATACGTGAAATATCGCCAAATAGATGTGAATTGATTGGTGTTGAAAAGGTTTGTGATTTCGAGTTGAAAAACAATGGTTATTTCATATTGTGTTGCCTTTGGATGCAAAACAAGCCAGACAAACACAAATTGTCCTTCATGATGGGTAAGTTGAAAATTGTTCAGATCGATTCTTAGAAAAACTATAGTGATATATTTTTTGAGGATGTGTGGATGATCATGCATAACTTGAATGAAGGACGATGTTTTTCATATGGACATTTCTACAACTTCCAGCTCCCAAGATTCAAAGTGTATTTGATAAGGAAACCGGCAAACTGCATTCGAGAAGGGCTGTTCTACGCAGAAAAAAAAATCGTTTGAAACTACAAAATTTCAGTAAATTCAACAAAATCTGAGTGTCATATATCCACGACAAAATATTTTGTCACCGCAACAAATGTTTTTTGTTAGTTTTCAATTCGAAATTCATTTGATGTAACTCATTAATGATTCACATTAACAGCAGGGATTGGGTGAATAAACGACGACTATTTCGTTCCTATACAATACAATATCAGCTCTTATGAACGATTCTGTTGATTGAAATGATTATATCATTTCATTCAAGTGACAAAATTTTCAGTTTTTCAGAGAGTGTATATGTTGAAAGAACAAAATATTTTCTTCGGTCAACAAAATTGTATTTAGAATTGACAAAATATGTTGCTGAATAATATTTAAAAATATCCAATAACTGGATTTTAAAACTAAGGGAAATTAGGATCAATTTCCTCAGTTGATTCAAGACTATCAGCTTGTATAAGCGCCATGCATGAGAAATTCTAGGACAGCCTAATGAAATTATATAAACGGATGTTATAGGTAGGTATATGTACACCCCAATCGAGGCGAGCGTAGGAAGGTTGGAAGAAACGCCACCTGGTGGCATAAATGCAACTAGGTAATCATTCAACAAAATATTTGTTTGATATAATGTTCTTGTGGGTTCTGTTTGAAATACCAAAATATTTCTTGATAGTGTTGTGTTGAATCAACAAAATATGATCTTGCATTATCAATTCAATTTTATCGAATAGAAAAAAACCTTTGATTGGTTGTACAATGAAATGATTGTTGACTCAACAAAATATTATGAATAAAAGACAAAATGCATATGATTGATTGAACAATGGAATAATAGTTGGATCAACAAAATTTGTTTTATGTCAACTGTAAATGTTGTTGAATGAAATGAAACTTTTGTTCAATCGAGCAAATATTTCAATCAAATTATTTTGTCTCTTTGAATAGGTTGCTTATTTGGAATGAACATATATTTTGTTGATTCCGCAAAATTGTGTTCAATTCAACAAAAAAAACTGACCAAAATCATTTTGTTGGTGCAACAAAACTTTTTTTTCCGTGTATATATTGCAAAGAACAGTGAAAACCCTGAAACCAAAAGTAAAGAGGAGAATGACAATCTTGATGAGGTTTTGAAGGTTGAAACTATAAATTCAAATGTTCAAATTCAAGAGCTACTTATATCATATTTTGTCTCTCCAGGTTTGCCTTAGGAGCTTCTCCTTCTTCAGGAAGGAAAAAGTGAAGGTGACTGGGCCACACAATGAAAGAATAGGTACTCTTGAAAATTATTGGTTTGAAATAGGAGTCAGATTTTTGATTCGGTCTGAAATTTAAAATTTCTCGTGTTTTTATATTTACCTAGATTTAAGTTATTGACTATTCCTATACAATGTTGTGTTCTTATCTTAGTTAGGTACTCAATACCATTCAAGAACCTCTTTTCAAAATTCTTCTATCGTTCTTATTTTTTTCTGATAGTGGTGGGACATAGAGCTTCGCTCACCCTGTACAATATATTGTGACATTTGAATGAAAATATATAATTTCAATTTTGTATTCATCTGACTTCCTAATTCTGTAAGAATGATAATGAAATTTCACTTTTAGGTCGTTAAAAAAATCAATAATAATTTTTGAATGATAATAGATTGCAATAGTATCCTTTTTTCTAGATGAATATTCATTCCGCATAGATTAACGACTCTAATCTATGGCTTCTGTTTTTTTCGAATATCTTCGAATCTTATGTATTGCCATCTAGAAGATATCGTATTCACTATAGAATCCCGAAATATGTCTACCAATGATGAAAAGATGCCTGTTTGACAATTTATTACCAAAGTTAGGTTCCTACTTTCTATGGATCGCTGGTCAGTTACAGTTGCCACTCTGCAAATACAAAACATCAATCAACTTTCGCAGCATTGCTAGGAGATGGCGTGAGCATATGCTTGATGTATGTACGCTGGCTAATCGATAAAAAATAGTGAACTCCTGCATAATATATTGAAAGAATAATGAGAGTAAGATATGGTGTGATAATAATTACTGATGCGCTTATGTTTCAGAAATTTAACTTGACCTCTCCAGAACAGTGAGAGCAATGGATCCCTCGATCTTCTAATAGATGGCGACATTGCACAATTATGATATCTGTCAGTTTTGAAGTTGTCGCAGATTTTTCGACTTCAGAGTTGAATAATGCCACTGTTACATATATGTTCCGCGTACCTAAAATTCCATTTGCCATTTCATTTCCACTCGTCACAGCAACAATAGCAGCATCATCATCTAGCGGAAAAATTTTGAATCAACGTCTCGCTCGTTGTGACGTAGAGAAATCATAGTAGGCGGTCGAGTGATTTTTCTGAAATTTTCAATACATAATAATGGCCGAATACGCGCATCATATCTTACTTCCATCATTCTTCCATCATTATAGAAAGCCTAGAACTCGATTGGAAATGATATATTTCTTCGCCTGCAATTTCAAAGTGGATGGAACATTAGAAGTACCTATCTGGAGAACGGAACGCCAGATCACTTCGAAAATTTGTGACCGCGGGTAGTTCCGTCTAAAACATTTTCACCAATATACAGTGTTGCCACTTGTATCAGAAAGTAGTAGCTACTTTGCTATTTCAAATGGAACACAACTTCTGATTTCTGAACTATACAGCCTTTTATCTACCCACTCAAAATGTATACCGTTCGAATTATTAAATTATTTGTATATTCCATTTTGGGTATATAATGAACGTATTTATCATCATCATTATTATCATTATAACATTTTTGAAATACTTATAGGATACCTCATACCTTCCTCTATACCTATCTGTAACGGTATTTGAGTAAAAAATTATTTTGTCCAATTTTTTCGCAAAAACCTGACCATTGAAAAATAACATCATTTTCCTAATGCAAATTGAGAAAATATTGCAATTTGGATCCAAGCTGCATGAAACCATTGAGTATTCTGACGATGCACTGGATTTCAGATTCAGTATACAGGGAGGCTCAGATGTAAGTTCCTTCCGTGTACTCATAAGAATGACTGAAACTCAGTTCCTTCAAATGGAACACACCCTATATATTGTGAGTTATTCTGAAAGCTGTAACATTTAACAACTCAATTGTGTATACTCTCCCTATACCTATCTCGTACGGTTTGTTAGTTGTAATCATTTATGTTATGAAACCGTTTTTAATTAAATAATTATTGGATAGTGATTTCGATAGTAGGCTATAAATTTCATTCTGACAGAGATCTGATATATATTATTATTTCTTCACCCTGAATTTAAGTTGCATAAGTATGAAAGTACTATGGCAGAAATTATTCACTCAAATATGTGGTATTGATGAACTTATTCATCATTTATGGTCAATGTAACAAGAATGTCAGCAGAACATGCAGAGAGTTTAATGTAAAGTATGATCATTTATTTCGAATGAATTTGAAAAAAAAATCACCAGATTAGAGAGACATTTTGAAATGTTTGTGTCATCATGAAAAGCTGGGAGTATCAAAGTCGAACAAGTGTATTATCAAATGAAGAAAGATGCAGCGGTGCTGAATCAGATTATCAAGTGTTCAAAATGTTGACCATTCGTTTCCAAACACTTTCTCATGCGAGCGTCAACGGCATCTTTTGTTAAATTCGCGAAAATCACCAACCAATAGATGGCTCTATTATATATGTCAAATCAACGTCAAATTTCCAACTGAGTATGAACAACAAAAACATTGCCGTATGCACTCATTGCAAATTGGTTATTTCCAAATTATTTTGCGAAATAGTGAATAATAAGTTGACTTCTTGAAATACGTACAAGGTTTCCAGTATGGAAACAATTACTTTTCGTGCAGAGAAATTGCCATTTTGATGTGGACAATGGTGGTATTCAT